GTTGCAGTCTGCTTCATCAGGGCTGGGAGACTCTGATACTGTATCAGAGTCTCCCAGCCCTGATGAAGCAGACTGCAACGCCTGCGAAACGTCGGCACCACACTGCAAACGGACGCGGCAACCATCCGGAAGCCATGAAGACTAAAGAAGACAACAGCCGCGAAAGCCTGAAAGCCAACGTATTATATTATATTATAATTTAATATGTAACACGCGTCGTGTACGCCAGAGATAATAAAAAAAAAACTGAATACTCATGTAATCTCCTTATTCAAGTTCGTTTCACTGTCAATGGTGAGGTCATGAACACCGCTGTCACTTTTATTGTTTCAGACTTCCTTCGTCAAGTCAGTGCAGCAAGCCTCGTCGAAGAAAACGTACGAGCAGGAAAATTTCGCGTAAAATTGAGAAAGATAGAAGGCGTACGGCAAACAGCGCTAGATTCCTTCGGCAAACAGAGCGCGTTCGGGCAGAAGCTCCGATCGAGAAGTAACGTCCTCGGGAGGTATTCTTTGAACAGCCGGCACGTGGCAGCGCTGACAGACACATCGGCACCGCACCGTGACGTTGAGAGGCGATCGGCAGAAACGAGCGCGGAACAAAAGAGGCCGGAGAAGCGAAATCGCCTTCCTCCAGACGAGGCGCGCAGAAGGAGGAGCTTTCGAGGTCGTGCCGTGCGAAAAGCCACGATATCAGAGATAACGTTTTAAAACGTTAAATTAATCCGCGTGGCAAACAGGCTCGTCGCTCTTACGACGTGTCTGTCGGGACGACTCTGGCAGTCGTGATCGTCGGCTGCCAGTCGCAAACTACGTCAATTTGCAAACTATCGCGGCTGGCCTTGTTGTCGCGTCGCCGAACAGTTTCGTCTTAGAGCAATATCCGTAAATAGCTGTGGGAATTTTCAGTTTTTTTCGACAACGAGACACGTAACTCATACAACAGCGCATTCCTCCTGCAATAACATTAAGACTGTAAGATAAGTGGCAGTCTTCGGTCATCACTGTTGTGACGTCTTAACTTGATAACTAATACAAATAAGTTACTTGGAGTTGTTCCCCTCGGGTCTCGGTAACAAGAAGATAAGTTGGAGGCTGAATATCTCTGAGATAAATTGACCAGCTATCACGGCGAGCGCAAAGCTGCGGACGATAAATCAGATATTTAATTCATCTACAACGCAACGAGGGTTTCCGATGGATTAAGATCTTCAGGTGACAAATCGCGAATTTGCAAGACGACGTGATCAGCACGAGACAACGCTAGAGGATAAAGGAAACGCGTCTCGTTGATCAGCACTGAGTGGTTCCAATTGAGAGTCGACCCTCGAGAGTGGAGCCTATTGGCCAAGCTGTTAATTCCTTGAAGCACGATTGGATTGGATCACCCGTGGACATTCCAGAGTTGGTGTCGGGACCGTTAGACAATCTATCGACCACCGTCTTGCCAGCCGGACTTCTTTTCTTGAACAAGTTCCTGAACTCTGCATCTTAACAAAGCTTAACAAGGGATGAAGGATTAACCGTCTATGGATTTTTAGTGAAGAGCACATTAAACAGCTTAGTTGAGTAGAACGAAGAGGAAAACATTTAACAGAGCCGGAGCAGTGAGATCAAGAAATCATCTACGTCAGTAGTGAATAAATCTTAAAGCAACGGAATACTCACGCGAGAGGATTATAAGTTTTTCGACATCGCCTTAGAGATTACGCCAGGAGATATCGTGACCACATTCGAGACTCTCGACGACTGAATGGCCCACATTTACTGGCTGCTACTTTTCGAAAGACTCTGGTAGTGTCTCTTTACGCAGTAACGGCAGGAATACAATACTGAAAGAGAGACGAGACGCGGATATCGTGGAGAGGGTTATATCCCTTTGGTCCCGCCGGGAGAGCCTTCGCCTTGCAGATTTTTCTTGGAAAGGGTCAGATCGCGCCTCTCGTCTAACCGAGAAGATTGTGACAAACGTGGTGGACGAAACTCGAACTTCCATTGACGTCATCCACGAGAGGCCCCGTTTACCTTTTCCTGGATCGGGTTCTTTTTTTAGACGGCACCATGGAGCGAAGGATCATGAAAATGTGGTGATAACGGTCAGAAGGCCTCCGATACCCAAGACACTATCCAGTGTGTGAGCCATAGTCGTTAGAAAGCAATTGAAACGTCGTGCCTACCCAGACATTTCGGGATACTCGCCAGTTGGAATCTCTCGAGTTTGTACGAGAAGTAAGGAACCCCCTTTCAGGCAAGAATTACTCTTGTCTCCGTCGTCGTTTCTTTGAATGAAATTTTGGGAATTAACAGCAGTACAGCTGCTCGGATCCGAGGAGGCGTAAAAAGTTTCGAAACATCGGCGTTTCGAGTTGATCTTCCACAGACGCATGATCTTGATAAGATAATTACGGTGTGTCACACGGATACCTGCCTACGTCGGGAATGTTTTTGGACCTACGGAATTGACGTTCTCACCTTCCGTTCTTCGTTACGAAGACAAGACCTTTCTCGAGTGGTTCTTACGCGAGGTGGAGGAGACACCAGGAAAAAGACATCGATTGTTAAAACGTGTAGAAGGTTTGCAAATTATAATATTAAAGATCATATTCACCTTTGTATATAGAGAACTTTATAATTTATTTAAAATTTTGTAATTTATGATTAGAGAAATTTTGCAATTATATACATACAATAAACCAAGAATATTATCATCATTTTAGATAGGTAAAAATTGCTTTGTTGCGTAAAAGGGAATTCAATTGTGATTATGAAACATCGTAAGTTATCTATTAACTTCTAGCAGCATGAAATAATTAAAGGTTATTATACAAAAAATATCGATTATCGCGGAACCGCTTCATGCTTTCGCGTCAGTTATAGCTTCAATTAATCAAGCAGCGGCAAACTACTATTCTGAGAAATGGCTGCGGACTTTTATTACTTAAAACATTATTAATGTTTAATAAACGCGAACATCGATCCATCAAGTGACTAATCAATGTAGATTATATTGTACGATGAATTATACATTAAATCCTCATTTGCGACGTTAAGACGTTATGATTATTTTAAGAAATGATCTAAAGGATGACATATTTTTAAAAATATCACGCTTTCGCAATTTTTATACAAAACATTTTTTGGTTTGCACACAGAGGGAATTTTCTTTTAACATTTATCAAAGCTATTATTTTATTTAGATATATGCTTTAAAATTATAATTTTTAATATAATTCACATTTTTGGTAAAGGATACTAAATATATTAAATTATTGTATAAATTTGATACAAGAATTGTACTTACTTATTGCATCATAATATCGTTATCATTTTTTACTCACAGCAGTCAATATACTATTAAATAAACACTGTTAAAATTTTAGTAAACAGGACATAACAGAAAATGCTATCTCGGTAAATAATTTCAGTTATCAAATGCGAAATAATGAGCATGTAAACCGAATGTCTGTCTTATTTCAAAATTAATCGTCCTGTTATTCGCAGGAGAAGGTTCTCCGCCGAAACGGCAGCAGAGCTTCGGCACAACTAGGAACAAGATGCGTTGCAGCCAAGACGTGGCGATGGTATTCGAGGACGCGTTCGTCGTCTTTTCGCGTTTTTTGTCACTGAAGTCGCGAGGCTGCGCACTCTTGGAAACACACCGGCAGCGCGAGACCACTGGCATCAAGAAACTGTACAACAGCTTCTTCGTAATGTTCTAAGAGAGGGCAAGGATCAGCACGCGTACTCGGCCCTGAGAATCACCGGTCGGGTGATGCACCGTGTATTTCCGGGCACATCGAAGATCTGGACCGAGGGGCACCCACAGGGTGGACGATCTGCAGCAGGCACGAAAGGCACACGCGGTGGAATGAATGTATCTCGCGATTAGGAAACGACCGGAGACGAAGATAATCGATCTGTGATTTGAGATCAGCGTGGACTCGTCGCCTCTTACAGAATCGTCGAGGAATATAGCTACGAAATTTATTTTTGCATATATATATGTATATATGTATATACGTATATACGTATAGCATATAAAATAGTAAAGTTGTAACTCATAAGTCAACAAGTCGTCCTCGTCTTCTCATCCTTGAAGAGAAGCATCGTTTGGCGCTCGCTGGAGTCTCTTTAAGGACGATCGAAGATTGATACTCTTCGTAGATCTGAGATCTAAAAGATTAGCATATAGATATTCGTCTTGTCCGGAAATCGCCGCAGGCAAACCCGTTAGTGTCGCAGTACATAGATTGTAGACGGTAATTAATTCGATCGCGTGTGCTCTAAGAAGCTGTTGAATGGAGCTGCAACTCATGATGGACGGCGGTGCGGAAACCCTACACGGAGCGATGTGGTTCTCCAACACATCTCCGTCATACGAGCAATTATCGCCGGTCCGTCCAAACAGGTGTGACATTGCATCCGCTCCTCAACAGGTGCGTGGAACTATTTCTCGCTCTTTTGTCAGATTTATTCTAATAAATTATACATTTATTAGACCATATAGACCATAAGAACATTTAAAACGATAACAGTATTTTATGTAGCATCAACAAACTTTTTTTATTTCCAATCTCTTCTCGTTTATACTCGTTCAACTTTTCTATCAATCTTGACATTTTTTTTTAAAGCAAAGGCTTGATCTTCTGGAAAAGATAAATTTCCATTAGCTGCAGATTCACTTCAAATGATGATATTTTGAGAGTAGTAATTGCAAAATGTCAATGTTGCAGACTGCAATAGGATATCACAGCCCACAAAATTCTTTATGGCAAGATAAGAACAACTCGCCGAAAAATTCGCCGACAGGCGGTGATCGGATACATTTGGATGACGGCTCGCCGCAGCTCTCGCCTTCCGGATCATCCCCGAATTGCGAGCAGAACAATCTGAAGCGCCGTTCCACGGAACCGTTGCAACACATCACGGAACTTGAAAAGAAACATATCAGAAGAGACGGTTGGTATTTCTTATTTATTCTTAATTTCTTTCATAAATGTTACTGTACACCATTTAATACACAAGAGATTATTTGATTCTAGTTTATACAAGTACCTATCAATGAAATCCAAAGCATAATTTTTACTTCCTTGCAATTTCCACAGATTAGCAAATTTCCTAGCATGTTATATCTAATATGAAGTTACTGTAAGAATTCATAATTTCTTTTAAAATTATACAGTGACAATGAGATAAAAGTATAAAGCAATTTACAATCTTGATAAAAATTTTTTTTTAAAGAATTGAATTTCGACGGTGTCAAATTTCATCTACCGCGCGAGATATATTTGTGCAGAATGTAAAGAATATGTTGCCTCAAATGTGCAGTGGCCTCAAGCCGATCGTCATTATCGTGTAACCGTAGACATATCTTCTTAAAGGTCGTGACCAAACGGCCTCTCGGACACTGTCGTAGCCACGAGTTCCATTTCGATGCTTGGTATTGTGGAGCTTCTCTCAATGAAAAGATATTTGTTTGCTATACCTCAAATTTTTAAAGATTAAACTTTCCTCTGTGATAAATCCACTATTTCTCCATAAATAGAATTCCAGCATCCACCAATCGCACCAGATTACTGTTTTTGTGACAGCATTAAAAAAATGTCAAATTAAATATTAAAATAATAATTACATTTATATACAGACATGATAAAGCACAATGCGACGTAACTCTCGATGCGAACAACCTAATAATCACCGTAAAATTTTGCTTACGCAAAATTTCAACTACTTGGCAAATCGGCGACTACCGAGGGATGCTCGAAATTGTCCGAGGCAATATTCACGTTCAATATTGTCATTGTCGATTAACGGTCAAGACTCAGCGATGACGCGATATGCGATTCAAGTGACGTTGCTTTGGAGAACTCCTCAAGACTGATCGGCGAACTTCTGCGTTCTGTCTTCTTACGTCCGACGCCTTTTCGCCCACGTGGTCATCCGCGACTGATAACTCGTGTACATATACGCACGCAATGTATCACGCAGATTGGTGGAGGAAAGGGGGAGCGAGATAGAAAGAGAGAGAGAGAGAAAGAGAGGACCTCGATACCAGCTCGCCATACTGGCGGCACTTTGTGAAGGTGCACGCACGTAGTTTTGGTGGTGTGTTTCTGCACGGGTGCGATCTTCGCCGCGGCCAAAATAGGATGAAGTGGTGTGAGATCGACAGATCCAGGGTGTCGCTGCTGCAAAGTCGACGTTATCCCCCTATCGCCACCAAGAGTCGGCGCCGTCACGCCATCCAGGAGACAAAAGATAGGCCGAGCACGATGCATCATCAGCTTCACGTCGGTTACAACGGCGCTCAAAGCGGTACGACGCCGTATACGAGAAGAGTTTTACGCTGCGTGTTGATTATTTCAGTTAATAGCTGCGCACAGCCTTCGAAAAGAAAACGCGATGAAGATGCCGAAGCGAAGAATAGTAGAATAGATCACCATATAATAATTTGTGTGTTTAATTATATATTTTTTATTATATTTCGCGCACAATCCTATTTAGAATAATAGAGTACGATTAGATTGCATTAGATTACATGCAACTTTAATGTAAATAAATAAGAGTCTTATTAATTTACATTGCAATTGCATGTAATCTAACGTAATCTGATCGCATTCTATCTAGTATTTTAATCAGGGAATACAGCTTTATATATTTCTTCATTAAAATATATTTTAAAAAATACGTAAATGAAAAAAGTTGAATCATACACTAGACATTTTCGTGCAAACTCTTTTCTTTTTCCAGCGAGGAAAGCACGATCTATCCCAGATAGCACAAGACACTTATTACCTCATGTTCGTGGAACGTCCGACTGGCACTATGTACTATAAATCTTTTTCGAATGTGAATAGAATAATAGAATAATCTATCGAATATAGCGTGTTATGTATGGTATGATCGCAGGTTTCACTGTCTTTTGCGTAAGATAAATGTATTACACAATAAACAATGTGCAATACATAAAGTCGATGAATATTCTAAAAACGTTCTTCTTTGTTATGAATATACGATTTCTAATTGTAATAATCTATGTATATTTATAGAACATTTGTACTCCAGAAGAACATTCATAGAACTATGTGTGCTATCTGGGATACTACTGTTCTCATAAAAAAAAATGAAAGCAACGTCCCGTTGTAGATATTACGTAAATAGATGTGAATTAAGAATTGAATAGATAAAAGTAAATAGGTGAAAAATAAGAATCATAATTGTAAAAATTTTCTAGCGAATTTATACTTTATTGTACGACGTTAATGTGACGCTAAAGAGGAACGAAAGGAAAACGAACGTCTTAGAAAAATCAGATTTGAAAGGGACTTCTTTTTTTTATGTTTCAGGATCCATCGGAAGCAATGGCTCTGGCCAAGGTTGGTCCACGCAAGTGGAGGAACTCGCGGAGCACCTTGCCGCTGATTTTGATGGCTCGTTGTCGGCTCTGGCGGCATCTGATCTCGCAACGGCTGTCGCCTCTTACACTAACATGAGGTAAACGATATCCTGGAAATATTTCATAGCAAAGTACATTCGACTTTTTTCGATACATTGCTAAGTGGAGTGGCGTTCTATTTTAGTAACATTTGCACTAAGGAAAATTTAATTAAAACTTAACGTACTGATAAAAAATGAATTTTATTAAATTAAATTTTGCGGGGATTCGATAATATAATCATCGAGGTTTGGTCCGTCGATAGAGCGCGAATATTGAACTTATGGTCGGTATCGCAGGCTTCTGCCTCGAACAAAATTGAAACGTATACGAAGCGGCAGCGAGTCGATCTAGAAATCCGGTTAAAACTGGCCACAGTTCTTGGCATTGCGTCGCATCGACGACACGAGAAAATCAAACCGGTCGGCAGCCACGGGCCACGAATATTAGTGCAGCACTTTCGACGCACGTGCACGAGTGTACGCAAGTATCGAACGTGAACGAAAAAGGAGCTGGATCGGAGAAGCTCGTAAAATTTCTCTCGTGTTTGCGTTTTTGCAAAAAAAAACATGTTACGGTGTATAATTAAAAATTTATATTTAGAAATATATGTATATTTCGATAAGACCTTCGTGCGCAATTTCATACTACAAATAAATCATTACATTTTATCTTGGATGATTTAATTCGTAAAACTTCAAAATTGCAATTGTTATAATCGATATTACATTGACATATATGGACAGTTTTTGACGCACGACTAAAATGGTTACGCACATACCTTATCTTGATAATGTATATACATATCGTAAATTTACGTTACGAAGGTCGTTGAAAGTCCATACGCATGTGTGAGCCTCATTGTTCAAGTAAATAAACGAGAAAATTTAACTAGACCACTTATGCATATTTTATAAAATTATTTCACTTTTTTAACACGGTGTTATAATAATTTGCGATTAATTAAAATTTTTTTGTACTTTTTGCCGCGGTTACGTCGACCATTTAACTAAATGCAATTTTGTGCAGCCAGAAAAAACTTTTTCGTTACGAAAAGAAAATTCCGGCGTGTGAAAAAATCTTGATTGCACGGATTATCGACTTGGTCGTTTATCGCATCAGCTGATCGTGCACGTGCACGTAAAAGCGACGGAGTTACGACGTGTGAGGTAAAAAAGGAGGCGCATATCTGTCCATGAATGAAGACGCGCGTCGAGTACGTTTCGCGTGGATTGAACCGGTAAGGAACCGGCTAGCGTACCAGTTTGTAGGTGTACTTATAACTGGTTTATTCTTGGTGGCAAGGTATAGCTCTCCTAAGAGTTTTGAGCCGCAATTTATATCTGCAATCGTTGCGGGATTTGTCACATTGCTAGTCAAATCGTTAAACGAATTGTTAGCAACGATACTAGTCGCTTCATTATTCGAAGCTACTAGTAGGAAATAAAGAAGGCTTAAAAGAAAGTAACGATATCTAACAATAAGTAAATTAAAATTCAAATTAATAAAATTCATAAGGCTCCGTAATAAACTTTATTCCTTTAAAACGTAAATGTTTAAACTTCTGTATAATTAATTTCTCGCCTGTTACTATGGATGCTGTTCTTTGTAATATGCACTGCGAATCGCCGGACCGCTTCGTGGAATGTCTTATTATTTCGATAAGATTTGCACCGAAATCGTTCGTGAGTTTTGTTTTCTCCAACAGCTGTTCCGTCCATTCTCTCTGTTTTAATTTGTGTTTTAACTTTCGCGATACACGTGTGTCTACATGTCCGCGTCTAATTACAAGTTATTTTTTGTAAATGTTGATGTAATTGCCACAATATATCGTTATACATATTGCTGTATGAGAGCAGAATATAAAATTATCTGAATGTAACTTATAGTCCAAGTCACTTTTATTATCTTTTGATAACTGTCTGTAAAAATTGTGATAAACTCTCGTACTTTAATATCATTCTTTAAAATTGCAAGTGCCAGTGATTCCTATGAATATTCTGACATTTTCATTCAAGATCGATTTTTCTAAATAAGGTGATCACTTTAATCACAACTAAAGCTATGCACCAGTATATAAAACTTGGGTGAATAATTTAACGAAACTTGATTTAATTGTGTTCGTTAAAAAGAGATGTTTTTTTATTCGCGATTAAGGAGTATCGGACATGTGAAGATTATAGCTAGAAGAATTTATTCGTAAATTCCAACAAACGTGTGCAATTGATCTGATGAGCCACTTTTTACTTCAGCTATGTAAATATCTCCGAGAATCATAAATAAATTTCGGTAGTATTTTTAACTCGGTATCGGTATTATTTCACACCGATTAAGTCCGTTGCACACTGAACTAGTTTATTCCGGTTCGCGCTGACCTTACTGACTCGCACAGTATTATCGTAGTGGTTCTCAAATTCTTCTTATTGCGCGTGTGTCCATATATTTAATGCATTGCGAGATCAGCTGACGTTAATTCCTAATCTTTATAGTATGGCGTGACCATCATTTTACGTCAACGATGTCCGATAAGGAAAAATCGCGAGTTACCTATCGACAGGTTTGTTATTATAAAACGATAAGTGACAACATTAAATTACGTGTTATTTTGCACTGAATACTGTTTTAATGGAATAAAATAATGTATTATAAACTTGGAAGGATGATATAAACAGGGAAGTCTATAAAGAAATTGACAATAAAAATGTTTAAAGATTGACTTAAGAAAAGGGTTGAAGATTGAGAAAGGCAGTCGTGAACATTTCGAAGATGATCAAATAAATGTTTTGAAAATTGAAATAATTTCGGGCACACTAAGATTTCCGAAATGACAAAAACTTCTTCTTCCAGCGAAGCCCTCCTCACTCTGCCATCGTTAACAGTCTTCAAGCAGGAGGCGCCATCGCCTGAGAATCAGCATAGCAACCCCAAGTAAGTCAGCACTGATTCAGAACAATTTTTTTGTGAACGACACTACCACGCGAAAACTCACTGATCGACAATTAAAGAAAATAAACGTAAAAACGCGGAGAGTCGCAAACTTCAACTGCGTTTACGCGCAACTTCTCGTTTTCCTCTTCTAATTTTGCAAACTGGACCATTTAGATTTAACACCGTCCGTTTATTTATGTCGAATGATAGAAGCGTGCGGTGACAGTCGATGACAGTAACTGGCAGTGCTACGATTACGACTGCAACACAAAGACGACGACGTCTATCTCTCTGCCGCGGGGCCAGTCAGGGGTGACGGGGGTAAAAAGTATTCCGAGCGGAATTTGCCACGCGCGGCTCCCCCGCAAAGACACGGGCCGCAGATAAGGCCGCGACTATATCGTTACGCCAGTTCGCGGCTATCGAGAGTAAGTCGCTCGCGTTCGGGTCAGACTTCTTATGCGCGTGTTTATCGGAACGGCGCGCGTTTTGCTCCGTAAAGCCCGGAGTCGGCCGCGCCGATCTTTAAACGTGAATCGCGGATCGGTATCTCATCTCCCGCGTGTGACTTTGATGTAAAGACTCGGCGGGGAGGTCCCGCGAGTGGGGTCAAATTTTTGTGCAACGGACAACGCAGTGCGCGCGAAAGAAACGCTGTGGTATAAGCCGACGGAGTACGGTGGTACGATCGCACGAATGAAAATGAAAAGAAAAATGGTTTTCATAGATACCAATTTTCACCTTCTAAATCTCAGGTGATGATCTTTACGGAATTGCGACATGTAACGACGAAGTAATTCTGCACTGAGTATCTACTCTCGCTTCCTTTTGAAACCCCCCCCCCCCCGTTTTCCAAAACTGTTACCTCATTCGATGACTCACGTAAGAAATTTTTGCGCGAGTTAGAGCTCGTTATCTGAAACTGATGATCCGATAAGCGGAAAAGCGGGGAGAACCGCCGCGCCGTCGTGGGCTCGCGTATGAATCGCGTGGAATCATCATATCAATGTGTAACGAGAAGAAGATGAAATCGTGAGAGGTCGGCTCGTGATCCCGTTGCTCTCCGCGCTCGGCGTGAAGTAGATGATATAGGAGATATATCCGGAAGGCAGCCCGGGGAGCTGAATATCGGGAATAGTTGATTAGACGAATGATCGCTCGTCTAATAGACACGCTCGGTCTGGCTTTTCACTTCTAATTATATTCATGCGAGTGCAACGTTGAAATCGCGGCAAAAGCTGACGTAACGTTCCAGACGATGGACCTCTACGCGTGAATAACAAGCTTCGACGATTGTTTATTGAGGCCTCATTAATATCTGTGGGATTGAGTGTGAACATTTCTGCCGAATGCCGAAAACCAGAATGAGAACACCCGTGGATTTGAACGTCTCGCCGTCACTTTTCTTTAACTTATAGTGAGTGGCTCGGTATTAACCGCGGGACATTCGGTCTGCTTTTCTCGCGCGAAGACCGGCGTCGTGCGATATCGATACAGTCCGGCGTGTCTGAAATATTTGTGTCTTATGAATTATTTCAGTTTAAATCACGTGTCGCAAAGGGCGATCAATACAGTGCCGCCCAGCAATGGAAATGTCGGCTCCGTCGAGGCTGATAGCAACAACAATGGGCAAACTAGTCTCCATCAACTCTTGTACTCCTCCAACGAGGAGTACCCGCCGACTTCGACCGCGGCCAACCACGTTTCTTCCTCCCAGCAGGGAAACGAATTGAACGAGGATTGCCGGTGCGCTATTAAATATTAATTAATTAATAACAACGAACATTAGAAAGTATTGTATTAGTATTGTCAAAGTTATATTAAGAATGATGTAACTTTTTACTCGTGTGCTGTTTTCAACTTGAGCAGCTAGCGAGACTTCGAGGCTCTTCTGCTAAAATTTCAATCGATATACAAGTTTCATTTCGGCAAAATATTCTGTTTGTAACACAATGGAGTTGCATTAATTTGTTAATTTTTCTCTCGGATGAATAAAAATGAAGATGAAGTCATGTGTATATCGCAAAGCTCCTCTTTAGTTTTCAGTACGTCTTAGCAGCCGCTACCAGCATCGCCACCAAGGTTAATGAAGAGACGCTGACGTATCTGAACCAGGGGCAGTCGTATGAGATCAAGCTGAAAAAATTGGGCGACTTGTCTGCCTATCGCGGGAAGATTCTGAAGGTACCTGATCATGCTCTTACATACGGAAGAACGCTTCATTTGGACGCTTCTTATGTTTGGGTAGCGGCATCTTAAAAAACGCTTTAACAATCCCTGACGAGGTTGACAAGCGGGCTCATGCTGGTGCGGATCGCTCGGTGGACCGCAGATTCTTTTCAGTCGGCAAATTTCAAGTAGTTGACAACGTTATCAGAGTAATTATAAACTTTGCGTTAGAGCATTATGTAAGAAATAATATCAAAGCGTAACTTTTCTTTGCAAGCGCTGATATAATTATTGCCTAACTCGTTGAAACGCTATGAATCTCATAATACGGATACACCCCACTGTTAATACTGACTCTGCTGATAATTGCGCTGGTAAAATTCTAACTCTTTCTCATCGGCTCATCTTGGGGATGGCGTGTAGATAACACGCGTTTACGAATACAGAGTTAAGACGGTCGGCATGAGCTCACGGCGTGTCCTCGACGTTCGAAAGATGTGAGTCGCCCAAACGGTGCTACAACGCCTCTGTAGGGACATCCGACCTTTCTGTTTCAGTCGACCATTCGCATTTGCTTCCACGAGCGACGGTTGCAGTACACAGAACGGGAGCAGATGCTGGCCTGGCAACGCGCTAGGCCCGGAGAGAGATTGCTGGAGGTTGACGTTCCTCTCAGTTACGGAATGGTGGATGTCTGTCAACCTTCGCCGTCCAACAACAGCGTGGAGTTCATGTGGGATCCCACGAAGGAAGTCGGCGTTTATATCAAAGTACGCTGATCTTCGCTAATTCGCATCTCTTCATTTCCGATTCTCTCTTACTTATTTGTGATAAATGTGATTGATTTCTCATTTTTGCGTAGCTACATTTTTCGTATAATTGAACAATTGTAGAATTTCACGAGAAAGAGCTCAGTATAAAATGTTCTTTTCTTCTGATATACTTATCAGCTTTATAACAAATAAGAAAGTGACTGTTACAAATATGTTTCTTCGATTTGTGAATAGGTCAATTGCATAAGCACTGAATTTACACCGAAAAAGCACGGTGGAGAGAAGGGCGTTCCCTTCCGAATTCAGGTGGAGACGCGATTGCCGGGAGGACCACGTCTGCACGCCGCCTCGTGTCAGGTGAAAGTCTTCAAATTAAAGGGAGCGGACCGCAAGCACAAGCAAGACCGTGACAAGATATTGAGACGTCCTCCCCACGAACAGGACAAATATCAGCCCAGTTACGACTGTACCGTCCTCTCCGATGTAAGTTTCGCTGTCGCAGAATCCTTTTGCAGTAAATAGAACAACATATTGAAATTAAAATGCACAAAGTGAAATTTGTTTCTCAATTTCTTTCCTCCCCTTTCTGTTGCAGATTCCTCTGGAATCCTTGTCGCCCTCAAACCTGTCGACGCAAAATGGCGGAAGCCCGTACGCCTCGACGGACGCAATGTAAGTTTAATTTTCGCACCGATTCTCTTTCCACTTTTATTTTCAATGACGTGCAAGAAATTTAATCAATCGCGTTAAAAACATAAGGTAACAAACGACAGCGTCAGCATACAAAAAATTGCGGGACTCGGAAAAAATCGCGTCCTAGCACTGTAATTGACATCATTCATTTATTATCTCGAAGACTACATCTTTCACGTTATTTTTTGTTCGCTTGTTTCTTACATTATTAAATTTGTAAAAAAAATCGTATCATGTTTGTGACACTTTTGCACCAGATTTTTATTTTTTTCCATCTTCTGTTTCTTACATGTCAAATTTGTAGGAACAGCACACAGATTCGTATTTAGATTAGAGATATAAGTAGAGGGAGATGGAACAGAGATTAAATAACTTGTTTGGAATAAACAATACTTGTCGTATAATAATAAAAATGACATTTTTTTTAACAAGATGGTGAAAGAATTATTTAGCAATGCTTGCAGAAAGAAAGTTAAGGCTTGTCCCCGTGCAAGAAATCTGTATGTCAATGCGGACTTCACAATTGTACGCTTAACCGAAGAGATTGCTGGTAGAAAATAAAAGCAAATCGCGATTTTTAGTCTTATACCTTTCAATGTATCGTTTCGACTCGCTCGAACGATTATCTTCGGAAAGTGTCGAGAGCCGGTGAAAATCTTATTGTAAATTCCGACCTCGCAACGACTTATTACACAAATAGCAACTAGTCAGTTCTGGATACGGCGGGTTTCGGGCACCCGCCTATAGATAAATCGTCTAACAAGTGGAATGATTTGTGTCGTTCGACCGGCGGCGTTTTAGCTTCCTCCGAAAATAGCGGCACGCAAAACAAACGTTGCGAGTGCACGGCGTCATACGCGCAATTATATGCAAATTTAAACGAGTCGCGGATTTTTTTTCCTTGCTTTAAACTTGGCGACGGCATTTTACGATTTCTAGTAGTCGCGTAGAGTTGTATAGCGAAATTCTACGTCGTCAGAACGTCGGAATTGGTAAGGTCTCTCCTAATATCTACTTCGTCGTACTTCGATTTACCATTTGCCGATTCGTGCTGAAAGGCACGTAGACGGGCAAGTTTTTGCGTCACGTACACGGTGTTGGACAAATACCTGTTCCACGGATATAAATAGCCGAAACGTTTCCGATAAATCTGATTAACTAATGTCCACTGATGGTTGTTTTTGCTTTCGCGAGCTATTTATATGCACATGTATAACCGAGGAATCCACCAAGCAATCACCGCGACCTTCGCGATATTACGACGCAGGTAGAAGTTAAATGCGAATCCCATGAGAGGGAGAGAGAGCTGCGTAGCGAAGACAATTTTTAAAAGTCATCTACTCTCGCGACTTTTTTTCATTGAAATGAAGAGAAAGGAATGTTATAGACTTACTTGGTTCCTTTATTCTGTCTAAAAAAAATTGGAGTTGATTCTATTCCATGATTGGAATAGAAATCGATCAGTGAAGAGCAAAGTTAGAAGAGACATATATCAGTTGTTCTCCTCTTGTCGGAAACAAGATCGAAACAAAGGTCGAAGATGACGAAGAGTACGAATGTTGTTCACCGTGAAAAGATTTCGAGAGACGGACAAAATAAAGGAAGGATAAGACAGAGAAGCTGCGCCATTTCTTTCCGGGGAAAAGAATTGGAAGATATCCGTGGCTTTCGTCATCTATCATTTTTCTTCTACTTCTCGCTTCAAGATGACGGATAGAGTCCAAAGAGAAGCAGAGTTAAAATAGAGTTAAACCAGGACCATTATAAATTTGAAACACGAGAC